GGGGAGCTCAGGGCAGGGTTTAGGGAAGGTGCATGAGTCAGAATAGGCAATTGGGAGCTGTAAGGAGGCTCAGGGCAGGGGGTGGGGGCAGCAGCATGGCCTCCCAGCAGGCTTCTCCCTGGGGCTAGGGCACTTGCTGCCCCCCGTGGTCATTCTGGGGTATAACTGTCCTTGTGCTTGCTGCCTCCCATGGTCATTGGGAGGTATAACTGTTGTTGGTATCACACCTCTCTTTTTGTTTGATAAGAAAGTCCCATTCCATACACATCCCATTGTCCTAGCACAACCAAACCTTCATCTTGCTTTACTTCTCTACATGAGGGAGCTGCATACCAAATTTGGTGATTTTTAGCTGTTCTTGTTTAGGAGTTCTTGAACAAATGGACTCATGAATTGACAGATGCATCCGTGCAAGCCAGGGGAATGCATCGGGCTCCCTCTCCCCGGCCTTAGGTTCCTCACCTCTGCTTTAGATCTTTGGTTTATAACAATTACTTATCCCAAAGCTGTAGGTGCCATAACATGAGTAAAGTTATGATCATTTAACCATATATGTTCTTAGACAATGTAAGTAGTTTAATTTTAATATTTTATTGTTCGTTATGTGAATAAGTCAGCAGTCCTAATGCTGTATTTAATTATTTTCACAAGCAATTTAAATGTTTAACTGAATATTCTCTTGCAGAAATACCCGCCTTACATTTCATCTACTATCCCTTTTCTTGGACATGCAGTTGCATTTGGAAAAAGTCCTATTGAATTTTTAGAAAATGCCTATGAAAAGGTAAGTCTTTGCCAAATCAATGGGTGAGTGTACTTAGGATATTCTTATTCTGCTACCTTCTGTATTTCCAGAATTTATTTAGAACATTCTGAATCACCATGGAATGACATGTTTACACTTTATCTTCGAGACCAGCTGTGGCCAACCCAAGGTTTGCGAGCTACATACGGCTCTTCCCTCCTCCCCCACCCCTATTCCTGTTCTGTGGCTCTGCTTCCTCAGAGAGAATCTAGTTACTTTAAAAGTGTAAAAGCCTGCCATATCTATTAGAACACTGAGCCTGTGTAAGAGCCATTCAAGTGGTAATGAAGCCATTTAACAAGTATTTACCAACCCCAAATATACAGTCAGTTTCTGAATTTATTAGGAAAAATTTAAACAACAAATAGACTAGTAGCACCGTAAAGACTAACAAAACATATAGATGGTATCATGAGCTTTCATGGGCACAACTCACTTCTTCAGATGACTGGAGTATTAGAAGTACAAATCCAAGAATAAATAAGAGAAGGGGGGAATGGGAAAGGAGGGTGGGGGAGAAGAGAAAAGGAGGGGGAAAGAAAAAAGAGATACAGACAGTGAGTAGAGACTGTCCAGTTTAGCCAGTATACATGGCAGTGGGACATTGCTGGCATTTGATGGCATAGATCACATTAGTGGATATGCAGTTAAATGAGCCTGGAAAATGACCCCTCACTCTCAGAGGCCTTGGGGGAAAGGCCAATCCTCGCCTACAGACAACACCCTAACCTCAAACAAGTTCTTTCCAGTAACCACACAACACACCTTCAGGGCCGTCCTTAGGCATACACGGAGTACGCTGTTGCGTAGGACACCACACTTTCTGGGGCACCACTCTGCTGGCCCGGCATGGAGGGGAAGCATATGCATGCGCCCTGCACTGGAGCCAGTAGGGGCACTGCTGGCACGTACGGCCCCGCCAGAAGACCCCACCGGGCCGAGGGACTCTGGCGAGGAGGCTGGCAAGCTGATCCCTGCTGGAGAAGGGGAGCTGTCAGCCCGGGCGGCAGCGTTGGGAGGAGCCCGGGCTGCGCTGGGGGCGGCGTCACGCGTGGAGAGCTGGAGGGGGCGGGGTCATGTGCGGCGCCCTTTTTAAAAATAGCCAAGCCGCGGCTCGGCAGGAGACGCGCTGAGTGAGACGCGCAGGAGCAGAGCCTCGCTAGGACGGGACCGGCTGTGTTGTGATGGGCCGGGGCTGTGAGCGCGGAGCGGCCTAGCTCTGGCTCCAGCACGTGGTCTGGAGCCCGGGCTGTGGGGACTTGTGGGGCCCGATCGCAGCAGACTCCAGCCTTGCAAACGGGAAGACAGAAGGTAGGCGAGTCTGAGGCTGAACTGGAGAGGCTTGTGCTGATGGGAGAGGGGCAGGTCAGGAGGAGAAGAAAGGGGAAGGCACCAAGGGATAGGGGTGCAGGAGAGACAAATGGGGGGGGGGGAGCAAGTGCAGACAATGAGGGAAAGGGCAGGAGGGGAGGTGTCAGTGGGAGGGGGACAGGGTGATGCTGGGAGAGGAGGGGGAAGGGCTGGGAGAAGGCTTAAAAGAAGGGGTGGGCATAAAAAATTCATGTTGCCTGTCTACACTGGCCTCTTGCGCAAGAACAGTTGCACAAGAGGGCTTATTCCTGAGCGGGAGCATCAGAGTCCTATTTGATTGCAGAACCCCCAAGTATCCTCCTTCACCTCACACTCTTCAATCTATCTCCACCCCAGAGCCCATATTCCTGGCTGCAGACTTAACAACCTTGCACCCTAATCCTCTATCCAAGCCCTAAATTGTTCATCTCTCCTCCTCCACGCCCCGAGCATTCACCATTCATTCCGTCACCCCAACCTTATTATAAAGGTGACATGTAATGCATCATCTCCATATTGCTGCATATAACAAAATTCATTCCACTCAGGGGTAGGAAAAATTAGAAGAAATACTGCTCACAAGGCATGTTTTGTACAAAGATCATTACAGTAGCAGAACCAGAACCATGAGTATATTCTGTCACAGAAGTGCACCTGGTATCTGTGGCAATTATTAACCGTTTCCTTCTTGGGAAAACTTCCACCGTTTGTATCTCTACCAAATGTTGTAATGTTGATTTTGAAACATTTGTTGAATATGTATCTCGTAACTATTCTAGATTTGTCATGTTTGGTACCATTGCAGTCATGGGTTGAGCTGGGTATATTTATTACATTTCCAATTACACTGTATTATCACAATTTCCACCAATTGAAGGATTGAGAGCTGCAGGGGCATTGGTAGGGAGCTGACACTATTGAAATTAAGATTCCGTAGATTTTTTTTTTTATGAATAAAAAGACATATCCCTTACCTTGCTGTCATTAGCTTGTGAATGGAATTCAACATGCTCCCAGGCTATGGCTAAAACAGCATCACATCCCTGGATTTCACTTGTGGATCTGACCCTGATTCAAAGAAGCTTACATATAACTGAGGGAAGCCTGCCTGTTGATTGACTAGTTATCCAGGGAGCTATTTGAATTACTTACCTTCCCATTTGTGGTACTACACAGGCTCTCTGTCTCTTCCTTGCGGATAATCTTGCATTTTGTTAAGAGATCAGGGTTTGACTGGGCTATTACACTGATTATTTGAAGAATTTGAGTGTCCTTTGTAAACTGAATAATTGTATGTTAAGTGCACCAAGATTTTTTTACTAGCCCTGGGGAAAAAAGAAATGATACTTATCTTGTACTTGTAGTGTCTGAACTACATTAGAACACTTAATGGTCTAAGTCTCTGGCTTGCAATACTTAGACTTTCTGGAATCTCAGGATTGACTTGTGGTAGTTTGATTTCATGCTTGTGAAATGGACAAACTGAATAATAGGTACTTCATGAGGATTTTGTCAAAGAAAACTTTAAAAGTAGAGATGGTTATGTTTTTATTGGAAAGTACTGGTTCGTTAAACCCAAACATTCTCATGAAAGTGATTTTTGCTTTGAAATTTCAACAAATCATAGGCAGGGTTCTGCTGGTACCCTGCCAGCTTATCTGGCAGTGGCCTGGGCAACCTTGCTATATGGTCTTCAGTGGGCTAGCAACCCAAGCTTGTAAGGTCCATGGCCCTGGTGCAGCCTTGCTATGACATGACTTCCAGCCTATCTGTCCTGGGGATGGGAACTAAATATGCTGAGAGATTTGGCTAGAGCTCGGGCTCTCAGAACTTAGTCCTATCTTTCCCATTATGTGTAAGCCCCCACATGTATAAAAATGGAAAATGACTTGTTAGACACAATGAGGTGAAGTGAGAAGGAAAAACAAATCCTTTATATATAATCTTGGATGTTACCTCCCAAATATATTTGGGAAAATCAGATTTAAGTTTGATTTAAGGTGTTATGTCCTGTTAAGTGGTTTCTAGTCGCTTCTTGTTAGAGCAGGGGTTTGTGCTTATTTTTTTGGTCATACTTCTCCCTTCTTGCCTCATCTTCTTCCACGGTGTTGGGCAGTGCATCATTTGGCTGCTTTCCCACTCAAAGGTGACTGCTTTTCAGTAGTATTGTGATCATGTGATTTGAAGCAAAATTTGAAAGGTTCTACATAAGGATAACATTTTTATAGCTTCCCAAATTCTCATTATTTGAAACTAACTGGTTCTTTTTCCCCTCAGTATGGGCCTGTGTTTAGTTTCACTATGGTGGGAAAGACATTTACATACCTACTGGGTAGTGATGCCGCAGCTCTAATGTTCAACAGTAAAAATGAAGACCTGAATGCAGAGGATGTATACTCTCGACTGACCACACCAGTTTTTGGCAAGGGAGTTGCTTATGATGTGCCTAACCCGGTATGTATTTTTGAGTATAAAGTCAATTAATTATCTAGAGTGCAGATCAAATCCTGGCAAGGTTACCATGATTTGTTTGGCCTATATTATGGGGATTGACGATATCAGTGGTTTGCCAGTATGCTTTCTGATTTTGATTGGTAGGCATAGGATGATCAAAGACAATACATTTAGGCTCTGGTGTATTGTACAGTACTTATACCACAATAGAAAATTAGCAGCTTAGCCTTATATGTTTTCCTTCCTCTTTTAAGCTTATATGCACTGAGTGCTGCAGGCCTCACTGACAGTTTACTTTTAACCTTTAGCCTCACTCTTTTCCATCGTGCTTCAGAGTGAAATTTTTCTACCAAGGGTATTTATACATGTGAGGTGGTACCACCTCCTTAAGATATTCCCATAGTCCCTCTCTCTAGGACCAGATCTAAGGATGTGTCTAGACTACAGGTTTTTGTTGATAAAAGTAGGCAATTCTTACTGGTGAGCTGCACCACACCATATTGGTCCACTTTCACCTCTGAAGGTAAAGGAGAGGGGTTATGCTGTTGTCTGCTCTAGTGAGGAGGCTCAATACCACCTGCTGGTGAGGGCAGAAGTACAAGTTTTTGTAGAAAACCCACTAGCACTTTGGCTACGTCTAGACTACAGGCTTTTGTCAACAGAGGCTTTGTCGACAGTATTTGTCGACAAAGCCTCTGTTGACAAAAGCCTGTAGTCTAGACGTAGCCAAAGTGCTAGTGGGTTTTCTACAAAAACTTGTACTTCTGCCCTCACCAGCAGGTGGTATTGAGCCTCCTCACTAGAGCAGACAACAGCATAACCCCTCTCCTTTACCTTCAGAGGTGAAAGTGGACCAATATGGTGTGGTGCAGCTCACCAGTAAGAATTGACCGATAGACCAGCCAGATAGACCAGGGAGCTTAAAAGCACATGTGGGTTGAATGGTACTGTTCAGTAATGACTGACAGGTCAATCCAGAAAAGGAGAGTATGCCAAGTTATTACAGATATCTCTTAAGAAAAATAGTTTATTTTTCTGTAATCCTAATTTTCAACCATAGCAGGCCACTTGGAATAAAACTGAGGCATGCTGGTGGACATTAGAGAATATGCTTGGACTCACCACACATGAATATTCATGTACATTTGAAACAACAACAACAATACAGAACCATAACAATACAAGTTTTACCATTACATTTGATGGCTTTTAAATAAAAGTTTTACTATTACAGTTGATGACATTTGAATAATACAAATATTAATGATATCATTACTAAGGCTAATACATAGGTGTAACCTGCTCATTCATTATACATCCTTCATAATTGTGCATAAACAAACCATTTCATACAAATAGCAAACAATTCTGTAACAATCTCTAATATATAGACAGATGGGTGAGGTAGTATGTTTTACTGGACTAACTTCTGTTGATAAATGAGACAAGCTTTCAGTATTACTTAAGAGCTCTTTTTCAGATCTTGTGTAAGCTTGTCTTTCATCAACAGAAGTTGGTTCAATGAAATAACCAGTCTTATCTCATTAATATCTCGGACCCACCCTGAATATAAAAGTACTTTCCATTATGTGTAAGACTATCAGTTACCGTGGCTGGATTTAGTTTGGCATGAAAAAACTAGAATGAATATTGCATTGCAAGTTAAAGTTGATCCAGTCTGATGGTGAAAAGTGCTGTTCTATGGATAGCAAAAATTTTTTTTGAAGGAGAGAATATTCCAGTTAAACACCAGAATAAGTTGCCTAGGGAGGCTATGGGATCTCCATCTCTGAAGATACTTAAGAGCAGGTTGAATAGACATCTATCAGGTGTGGTCTAGATGGAACTGGGTCCTGCCGTGAGTGCTGGGGACTGGACTCGATGACCTCTCAAAGTCCCTTCCAGTTCTAGAGTTCTATGATTCTATAATTCTGATTATGGATGTTGCTAGGATATAAATTCAAGACTTTATATTTCCCACAGTGCAGAGTGGATTGCCCAGTGTCCACAATGCTAATAGGAGGCTTGCTCAGAGATTAAAGGGAGAATATGATTTTTTTATATAGCATCTGAAGTTTTTGTTCATTTGTCTTATTGTCACATTCGTTAGGCCCATTGCTGTTTCTGCCCATCATTTCTCTTTTCTGTTTCTCTCCTTTTTCCTGGACTTTTGGAAAAGTCTATGCTCTTTTCTCTGTAAAAATTCCCATCTCATTCCATCCATTAAAATGATTATTGGTTAAGATAATTTAATGGTGTCAGTGAAGTATCATTTTAAGTGGGTATTCAAGCCAGATTAATAAAATACAGCCTCCCTGTGTTAGGGAGCAAGACCACAGAGAGCCCTGTTTTGTTTTTCAGCATTCTGTAGAGGGCAGCAGTTCTATGGTTACTTGTACTAGTGGTGCAAGCTACTAATGCTCCCAGCATTTCTTAATGTCTCGGAGGTCTGTCTGGGGGGCTGTGGTCTAACCTCCTTCCACATTGCAGTTGCAGTGCAGGGCTGCAGTAAGAAACATGTAAGTTTCAAAAAACTCTTAATTGCTTAGTAATTACTGGCATACAGATCCCAACCTTCTTGGTGGTCTCCAGATACCATATGTTTCTTGCTTTCAAAGGAAATGCACCACCTATGCACTATGTCAGGGCTACTCAACTTTGGAAGCCCCGGGGGCCACGATGATACTCTCAGCACATGCCGAGGGCCGCAATTTAAGTGTAGTTGCATGTACATGCATATTATATATGCAGATAGCTTCTTTCACACTGATGGGCACGAATACAAAGTTTAAGGCAAGACTACATAACACACAGGCCCCATTTAAGTCATTTTTGCTGATATTAATAAAATGCAATATTTACCTGATTTCCACCCATATGACAGCACTTCTAATGAGCAATGACAGTTAAGGAATTTTACTACTAAAACGCATGTCAACAGATGACCATTATATTGACTTGCCATTATGGAGCATGTTCCCAGTGGAGGCCATGTTCAAAGGATCTCACCCGCGGGTTGCGAGCTGAGCCCTGTGGAAGCCCAAACTACACCGCGGGCCGCAAACAAACGGGCCACATGTGACCCCTGGGCTGCGTGTTGAGTAACCCTGCACTATGTGAAGCATTGCTGCAATTCTTGGAAATTGATAGTCTTAGTATGTTGTGCTGTTCCTCAGCAAAACTATGTTTATGTACTCAGTGGGTAACTGGGCTGAATATATAAGCTTAATACAATACTAAGCTTATCTTCTGTCCCTTTCTACATTAAGCCATGGAATTTGACTCCAGTGTGTGAATTAACTGCCATATACAGTAAACTTCCGATAATCCGGCACCTTTAGGACCCAGGGGTGCTGGATTATCAAATATGCCGGACTATCAGAAGCGAGGGCTAGGAGGGGTCTGGGGTGGAGTGGGGGGAATGCGCCCCTCAGTGCTGTGGGACCAATCCGGCAGCACCCCAGCTGCTCTGCCCCAGATTTCCCCAAGTCAGCCACAGCTGAAACTGACCAGCAGCTGACTCGGGAAAGCCCGGGGCAGAGCAGCCGCGGAGGT